AAAGATCTCCTGCAGACATTAGCGCTGAGTTTCAGTCACTGTGATGCCTTTAATAGTATCAGTGTTAGGGGAAAGTGTTTTGGTAGCAATCTAAACTTGCCCTCACTGATTGCATTTTAGCTTGCCAAAACCAAACCCAAACAGGTTTCACAAACTTAGCATTTCTACACTGAGTATTGCCTCATGAGGTAATAACTCCTGTTTTACAGTACAGACTTAATCAAGTGGCACATCTGGTTTAAAGAGCTAAGCACAGACAGTCAAAAAGCCTGAGGCTGAATCAAGTTAATCTTCACAGGTTAGTATAAACTGCATAGATTGAACCAATAAGCAAGCAAACAGCCATTCACTTTTGATTCTGGAAAGGCAGCCACATGCCTGAATGGCCCAGGCCAGAAGCTGAGGGAAGGTAAAGCATGCCTTCTTACTTGGCTGGAGTAGAAAGCTTGGGCCAAGGCTAGCATGCCTATCCTGTGAGGGGGGAGTTGTGGGGGAGCTGCAAAGCATCCTGGGATGCTGGGGGACTGTGACTTAACTTGGATCTGGAGAGGATCTTTGAACAGAAGTTCAATAAACCAATTTAACATAAATCAGTTAAATCTAATACTACATCCATCCAGGTTTATCTTAAATCAGTTTTGGCCATTTTAAAAGTGGTTTATGTGCACTGAAATTCTGTTGTGTGACAGATTTGAACTAGTTTCCAATTGCTTATACCAATTTATGTATAATTTCTGTCCCTAGCCAAGGATCTTTTCACTCACCTTTTAGTATTATAAATAGTCCAACTCTGATATCCTGCCACTTCCGGCTGAACTTTGTAGGGGGTTGCTGAATGGGAAGCTGTGTGAAAGAGTTCATTTAGTTTGAAATAGTTTGAAAGTGTTAATTAAATGCTATTCCTTATCTCCTCCCCGCTCCCTCTCATAATTTTGAAATGTTGAATAATAGCATCATTTGGAGCAGAATGTAACCTGGGACATTTGGCTGACAGACACAAATAACTATAAGCTTTAAAAGGACGTTTTCAATAATATGAATAATGTTAGTAATAACAACCCTTCTTATTTCTTGAGGATTTCATGATAATTAGGGCCCTATGAGATACACAGAGGAAGTGGGCTGCTCTGAAGCTCCTTTAATCTTGCAGGTTCCTTTGTGCACCCCCACTGCTGATTGGTGGAGCAGCTCCACTTGCGGCTTGCTCCTGATTATTAGGGAAATGAAAACTGTGGTTTTAAACTTGGCACCATTTTTGTCTCTCTGGCGCTGATAGACCCAGGGGCCCCAGTAGCTCAGCTGCTTGTTGCTCATCAGTGGGGAGGCAAAAATGGTGCCAAGTTTAAAACCAGTTTTCGCTTCCCTGTAATCAGGAGTAAGCTGCAAGTGGGGACCTTCCACCAATCAGCAGCAGGGGGCACGTGGGGGAACCTACAAGATTAAAGGAACCACAGGACAGCCCATGTCCACCATGAATCTGGTAGGGCCCTAATGATAATGGAACCAAACATTGTTTTCTTTCATATGAATAGTGTTGTAAAAATGCTACCTATTATGTTTATTATTATTGCCAAGTTGCTTTTTCCTTCACGGCTTCTGCATGTTTGTGTGTGCTCCATTGTAGGATTGAATACATGAAAACTGAGTTTCTGACACTAATTGTGTTTATTTCTGTGAGAAAGTACTTCTAAGTGTTTCTTTTGAGAATTTAATGCATTGAAAATTACACAGGCTTTGCTGACAGATACAGGTGGACTATCAGGTAGGTTAAATATATACTCAAGGATCCTGATGGCATTTCACAGAAGTTATAATACAATGCACAAACATGATAGATTGAAGAACCCTAAAGGAGGCCATGGCTTTCTTTCAGAATAAATCAGTGACAATGATTGCACCAATGAAATCATGCAGAGCACTTCAAATGTCCTCTCCCTTCTTGCTAGGTGCAGGGCCTGAAGCATCAACTAAGTATTCACCCTGTCACCTAATAGGAACCCTGAATCCATAATAAACTGAATAATCAAAGGTGTCTTCTATTTACTCCAGCCACTAGGTACACCACAGAGATAGAGGAAAAGAAAAAGAGCTGCAAGACTTGTAAATTATTATTTTTTTAAACTCTCAACCAGGGCCCAGGGTCCCATTATACCCCAAGCCCCACTTCCCTCCCCAGAAACTCTCCCCTGCCAAAGTTACAATTCCAAATAAAAATAAATCAGGTTAAGAAGAAGATCTAGAGACTGTGTCCTGACGAGCATGAACATGTGGTATGTGCCACTGCAGACCCATCTGTGGTGCCACACACTGCACATGCAGGCATAACCTGTGCTGCTACCTTACAGTGCAGTGGGGCTTTTTGACCCCAAGAGATCCCAGGGTGGTGCACATGGGGTGGCACATGTGGCGGCACTGTGCACTGCCCCAAACTGGTGCCTGGCCAGCCCGATCCATGCTTTGGATGCTGGCCAGGCTTCCTGACATGGCTGCAGCCCCAGGAGGCCCCCAGAACCCTATGTAAGGCTGCTGGGGCCAGCACAGTTGCTGGCCCCAGTCTGCCCTACACTATTTGTGGTAACCTACCATGTGCTAGAGCATGCATGGCATGGGTGTTCCTCAGGGACAAGTAGCAGTGGCACAAGGTGTGCCACTACTACTTGTCCCCTGGGAAACAAACTTCCATGCTCATCTGTATGCACCCAGAGAGTTCTAAAAATACAAGTCTCTTTCTGCCTTGTGTATTGGACTGCATTAATTACTTTAAAAGGTCCAAAACAACAAGCAAATATCAGAGGAAAACAGACAATTGAAAAATCAAGTGTATCAAGCTTTAGTTAGAGGAAGAAGATAGTTGAGGGGTACATAGGTGACCTACATACTACCTTTTTAAAAAATGGAGGCATCATGGTGTGCTGCAGTGGACAATGAAGCATGAGGCAGAATTCTTGAGTTCCTCACTAAGCTGTGCCGCTAATCTGATGTGTGTCCTTGTACAAGTATTTTTGCCTTAGTTTCCATATATGTACAATGATGTTTCTCTTCCTCTATGAAGGACTTTGTGAGCTGTGGATGACAGGCACTGTTAAGGACTAAGTGAAAAAATAAGTTAACATCTATAACATTCACAGGTCTGAAAGGAACTTGCTAAGGGGAATATTACCCACTTCTTGAGTGAAATCCCTAAATGGCTTGTACTTAAATCTCATCCTCTATGCACAGGTTCTGAGGTAAGATAGGATGGTGCTAACCACACATGAGTCTACAAATAGCCTTTCCTGAGAATGAGGACCCAAAAGACCTTCATAAAGCCAAGCTGTGGAGCATCAAAGTAGAATGGTCCCAAGGAGCTGTCCAACCACTGGGAGCTGCTGGAGCGCCTGCTAAGCTATCCTAAGCAATGTCCAATGCACAGGACAATGGGGCACTGAAAGACAACACATAGAAAACTACAAAAATCAGGTCTTAAATGTGGTGTCCACAATGGTCTAGTTTACCAGGTTGTATTCAGAGTGTCACTTGCAAATCAAGGGAAGAGATTCTTTCGCTCTATTCAACACTGGCGAGGCCTCACTTGGAGTACTGTGTCCAGTCTGGGGTCCCACACTTCAAGAAGGATATGGACAGTTTTGAAAAAGTCCAGTGGAAGGCAACAGAAATAATCAGGGGTCTCAGGGGAGACAAGACTTATGAAGACAGGCTGAAAGAACTAGGGATATTGGACTGAAGAAAAGAAAACTGATGGAGGATTTAATAATGGTCTTCAAATACCTGAAAGATGATTGTAGGGAGGATGGAGATAGGCTTTTCTCTGTGGCTGTAGGGGACAGGGCTAGGAGCAACAGCCTGAAGCTGCAACAGGGAAAATTTAGGTTTGAGATTAGGAGGAACTGTCTGACAATGAGATTGGTCAGATGCTGGAACAGGCTTTTACCTAGAAAAGCTGTGGAACCTCCATCCTTGGAAACTTTCAAAAGCAGGTTAGACACTTGGCTGGAGTGGTTAAGACATGGATAAGTCTGCCTTGATCAGAGAGCTGGACTAGATTACCTTACGAGGTCTCTTTCAGCCTTGCTTTCCTATGACCCTTGTTAGACTTTTTCTCTGGGGAACTTCCATGCTTGGACAGGAAAAAGAAGAAAAATCATCCATGTTTGACCAAGAAAAAATTAGTGAAAGGAAGTTTTATCATGGTTAGATTGGGACAAAGGCCAAGTTATCTTCTGTGCAGTTACAAGGTCAGATTTTCAAGTATACTGTAATTGAAATACTGCGACTGCTTAGTGCTACTCACTATTTTAGATCAATTGCCCTGCTTTGTCTTATACATTTAACTGAAGTTTCCTGCAAAGAGTTTCCTGAAATGCAGTTTGGCTGTTCTACTTAGATTCTTCCTCCCTCCCCCCCAAAATAATGATGGCTATCTTCTAAGTAAATGCTTGTGCTGAATAAATATCCTGTTACCACACATAAATACACTGTTACCTTCTGGTGTTCACCTTAAGGATACAAAAGGCAGTACACAAAATAAATTAAAAGCCGAGAGGACTTATTTATTTTGGAAGCCATGGTGTATCCCCTTCTAATGTAATGAGTCCCATTCAGCATTCAGGGTGACAATGAGAACAAAGTAGTCTGTCCCCAAACCAGATTCTGGCAGATTGGCTGTGCTTATACATTGGTTTTTCTATTTTCCCTTTTCTTGATGCCTGCATTCCTAAAGAGCGTCTTTGATTTTATACAATGGGCTAAGCTGCTCAGGTAACCCTGAGTCTCTTTCTGGATAAATTACCGCTCAAGTGCCCTTAGTGTATGTTCAGGTTCCGTAAACAATGCCTTTCAATTGTTCATTATAACAGCAACAGTACACTTTGATGTACTCTGTCTCCTTTTTTTCCATACTGTTTTCTTCTGTGATTCCTCCTCCCCCTTTTCTCCTCCTGTTCCACTTAGCTGTCCCTCCTATGCTTGTCCCTCCTTCTCTCCTCCTCCTTTCAGTCAGTGGCTTGAAAACTTGTTAAAAGCTCTCCCAGTGTTTCAAGTTAGAAAAAAACTTTTTTTACGAGGTATCAGCACTTTTCTTTCATTAGTGGGGAAGGAAGGATGAAAAATACAAACCAGCAGTAGACTTTTAAAGTTTAAATAGACAAGTCTGAGAGTCTGAACTTCTCTTCCATTTTACGTTTACCCTCCAAAGAGGCACTTGTTCGCCTGCTTCACTGCTGATCAGCAAGGGTAAGTTGGAAAGTTTTTACTTTTTTTTTTTTAAAGTATACTTTTTTTCCAGGAACCTTATACTGCTTTTCCTTATGTCTGGAGTATTTGCAACACAGTTGGAAAAAACTGTGCTAAGTGTTTCTAAAGTTACTCAGTTAAAAGTTCTGGGTAGTTTTTTGCTTTGTTACATTTACACTACTTTTAAATCATTTTTCTAAATATTTTTAATGATCATTTTTTAACCTAGTTCTATGGCAGGTTAATTGTGGCAATACTTCATCTTCAGAGCTGGATTCTGTGGTTGTTTACTTGATTTAAGCAAAAAAACCCGTGCAATTATCTTATTAAAAAAAATAGCTTAAGAAAAAAGTAGAGGTGTGCTTCTGCGTATGGAAATCCTCCTGATCTTCTGAAAAAGCCTTAGAAGTTTGTAACAGCAAATCCCTTGCATGAGTGTTTCCCATCCATCCCATACACTTTTTTGCTTTCATATGTAAATTTTGATTGATGTTTAATAGTTTGTGCAAAACATGGTTCTTAATTAGGTGCTTTGTTAAAATACTGCTGCTACTAATCCAGTGACTTTCACGTGGCTGCGCTGATCCCCCCATGTCCTCCCCCCGCCCCCCCACCTCCTTCTTTAAAATAGATGTGATAAAATCCAGACATGTGCTAAGGATTTTTAAGCCAGTTTGTATATAGTTACTCTGTATTAGCAACTCCAGTTAAGGATTGTAGAGGAGCCATGTAGCACATAGGCATATGTCTCACCATGCTGGCATTGCCTGTGAAGGTATTGAGTGGGTGGGTGTTAGCAGATGTTCTCTAGGGAGGACTCTCAGTGAGTAGTTACAGCATATATCACAAGTTAAATTGTCTATACTTTGCCCTGAAACCTATAAGATAGCACTGGAAAGGAATTCCTGAGCAGCATCTTCTAGAGAACTGACTTTTGTCTGAAGACACTGGAGTGATTAATTCCTTATTGGTATTGCTGCCTGGATGCCTGCCAGTAATCAAAGAGAAAAACTTTGAGGATGGAGATGGAGAGGGGAAGAAGTTTCACTTGGAGTGAGAACCACATCACAAGTGTACTTTGTTGGAGTAACACATCTGATGGTAATCTAAAATGTTTTGTGCCCAACTGGCATTTCTCCTTCTGCTGTCCTAATATAACAGTAAAGTCAGAACATTTTCCTAAGAGAATGTTCTTTTAGATTGTTCTAAGTGTGTTTAATTAAAATCAACCAAAACAACAACACAGGTCAACTTGCAGCTTTGATTTTTCTGTGTGTGTACGTGAGTGTGTGTGTGTTGGAAGAGCTGGGGCTTGCCTGGATCTTTCACCCTGCCATCTTAACATCTGGACAGCACACTGCACTGCAGAATTTACAAAGTCTCCAGACTTTGAAATGTTTACTGAAGTGTTTCCCTCAAAAGCCCTCAAAGCTAAACAGTGGCACTGATCTGTGATATCTAACAGGCATACCAATGGGAGAATGATGAGCAACAGACTGAGTTCAAAAGGGGAAAGGGAAGGATGCAATGGATTTGATTTGTAGCAAATATGCGCATACACACAAACACATACATATATGCACCTCTGAGTGTAAAGGTCTCCCAAGTCTCAGTTAAAACTAGCCTGAAAGATAAGCTGTGCCTGAAACTGAAATTAAACAAGGGTCAGTTTATGTAAACATACTGTTGTGGATTTAAAGAAGTCTCTGCCCAGCTAGTGCTTCTTGTGAAAGAAGTAATATTGCTAGCCCCTTTCCCTAGCCTACTCCATAAGTTTAGTGTGGTAGCTTAGTGTGGTAGCTTAGCATGGTAAATTCATGTTTCTTTTGCTTTTATTTTGTGGGCTTCTATATTTTGAAACATATGAACTTGGAATTCCTCACAAATATAAGTAGGCATCACTTCTATTGATTCATCCACTTAAAACATGGATGATTTGGGCCAGAAGAGTAAAAAGTTTTATCAACTGTCTACCTGACTTGTACAAGTGGAATTTTTAAGCAAACTCTTGTGGTCTTGTATTTGGTTGTCTTGGACAGATTCATAGAGTTAGACGAGGCAGGGGGAGAATGCGTCAGAGGAAGAGGAGGTGGTAAAAAGGTCCATCAGTTGATGATCACCAGTGAGTACCATAAGCCTGTAAAAGAAAACAAAAATAGCAGCTGCGAGGGTTAAATTCTGATCACTATGCAACCATCAGGGGTACCCTCCCTGTCCTCTGGAGGAAATTTACTACCAACTAAATGCATTTGCAGAATTCCAAATGGGCTGTACCTTTCCAGGGGAATGTAAGAATAACATTTCACTGACATTTGTGAGATTTGATATGTTTAACGTTCCTGGTCCACAGCCACTCAAGTCCCATGTCTTAGGCACCTCAGCTGCTTTCCCTGAGACTTTGGCTACGCTTGGGAAATTATTTCTAGGTACATTTTAAGCAGAGGCTTTCGTTGGCATTTATGGGAGAACCAAAGCTCTTGGCCCACTTCCTAAGCGCTCTTTCAGCTGCACAGACCCACACACTTACCACACACCAGCCCTGATGCCTCTTCCGATCATTACCATGTGACCTACTGACACTGCAGTCAGACCTGGGCACTTAACCACAGTACTGAGCCTGCACTATATCTCCTGGAAAATCTGAACCATATGACATGATGAATGCCTTCCATAAAAAAACAGTTCTAGAATTTCTAAATTGTGGCTTATAGATCAAATTTCTTTTATATGTGGTCATCCAAGACTCAGGCAGATGAATGCTGTCATTTTTCCTTCTTCTCTACAGCATATTCCTTCTGTCTGTACCCACCCACAATACTATTTATCAAAAATCTGTTTATGAAGCTGTTCTACAGGTCAAGTTTTTTGTTAGTGCACCTCAAAAACCATGTATAATGACATAAAATAGTCATCAGTAAGAAATGAGGCTACTTACATTTTTAAAAATAGGAGCAATTACTGACAGGGCATGCCTATCTATTGATCATTGTGTTATGATAGAATAATTCCATTACGAGGAGAATATTAAAATAAATCTACATCTTAAAAGACAAGGAAATATTAGACCAGAGGAGATCTTTCAGTTTTAGAACTGTTCACTGCAGAACTTAAAATTATCATTTAAAGCCGTAACGAGCGAGACTTTTTATTATTTAGCAAACAAATGCCGCAATAGGTTAATTTAAATATTCTTTCAAAGCACTGAAAGTAAACAAGTTAGATCCAATCAATGAATTATTTTACAATGAACTAACATACTGAGTTTCATAAAACAATAGAGTCTACTTACGGAAAAGAATAATATATTTGTGCCACTACAAGGTTATCTGATTAACAGCACAATGTTATGAATTGATGTGGGTTTTTTATCACTGGCAAATGTGAGTGCATAACTGATCTTTTTTAAAAAAGTTTGCTTTACAGAACTATGTATGAGTAATTCAAGCAAGGAATGCTTCCTCCTGGAGTTTATATTGCCAGAGGATATAATGGACTTAGTTCTGCATGCTGAAACAAATTGAAAAATAGGTGCTAAATTCTGAATACATTGCAGGTGTGGAACTAGCTAGGTCAAAATTTAACTATATCATCCCCTATTAATAGACCAGAGTGCAGTGTAATTAAAAAGCAAACAACATATAACTGCTTAGAAATAACACCTCCCTTGTTTTTTTAATCATACTTTCAATCTGAAATAACATTTACACTGTAAAGAAATCCACTGACCTTGAGGAAAGTCTGCTAATTCGGTATTTTCAAATCATCAGAAAGTTGGCTAATAACACCAAGAATCTATTACTTAGAAAAACACCTGTTTCTGTCTATTTTCACGGATAGGCTAGGCAGAAATGAGTTTTCCTTTTAAATGAATTTCACATATTATGTAGTGCAAAAGACTGATCTCCATTTCAACAAATCATAGCCTGAAAAGAAACTTTGTCTTCATGTAGCAGAACTTGCCAGTTTTTATGATCCCCAAATTTCCGGCAGAGGCTATAATTGTTTTTCAGAGACTTCTAAATTAATGCATGTGATTTCTTTTCTATTAAACTGAAACATGAAGGGCAACATTCTTTTCCTGGAGCAAATTAAATGGAAAGCCAAAGAGGAATATGACCTACAATCTCCCTTACTGGGGTATGGCTTTTAGTTTTAAAAATCCAAAAGAGAACTGATCCTTCAAACTTTTCATTGGGACTATTTCCATGTAAAGGACTGATAATCAAAGGAAGGGTCTCAAAGCTAGCACAGGCAGATTTCCACATGTTATGTGGAACTTGCTGAGGTAGATAGAATAACCAGGGGGAAATTATCAAGGGCTCAAGAGTAAAAGAGAGCAACAACTTGCAGCAACCAAAAACTGGCCTTGTTTGCCTTCTCTTCCACCCCAGGCCTGTTCCCTATAATGAACAGAAGGAGGTGCTAGTTCATTCATTTAGCAGCAGAACTTCTGGGGCTGAAATTTCCTATTTTTTGTCCAATTGGTATTTTTTCCTTTGATTATGGCATGTGTCTAGTCCTCACTGAGGAGTGCATGGGGAAGAAACTGGTTGGAAGTTAACAAAGTTATGAAAATTTGAAAATGGTGTAGTTAGCCTGCACAGCACAGCTAACTGTATCAAACAGTTCACTCTTTAAATGGGGGCTGCACACTTATTTCATTTGGATGCACAATTTTACATACAATACCCATTCATTAATTGGTTGGTAAAGATCCAGTCCATCTTAGGGTTGATCTGGATAATTAATATGTCACCTGTGAGATCTTCCAGAACTAGGATTAACTGTTGTTCATAAGCTTGCGTGGACAGCTCACTTCATTAGATGCTATGAAAGAACATTTATCAGTGAAGTGAACTGTTGCTCACAAAAGTTTATGCATCCCTGATTCAGTTAGTCTGTAAAGTGTACCTCTCCCTTGCCTTTTGCTTTCAGATTAAAATGGCTAACTACCTCTCTCTGCTCATGGACAGAACTAGGATTGCTACCTACAACAATATTCACATTCAAGAATAAATTGGCCCACAGCTTATTGTGTTTTTTACCTTTATCAAACCTCAAGGATGCACAGTTGAATATTTCATTATATGTTAAGGTATAAGTGAAGGTGTATGTTAAGGTGCCCTGGCTCTCTGGCTTAGGAGTTTGCCTGCTGGGTACAGAGCCAGAAGGTTGTAAATTGAAGCCTGGGTGTGGGGCCAGAGCCCCCCCTGGACCGGGGCGTGCAAGAAAATATTTATCTTTTCTGTATTTCCAGATATGATCTATAATTAACATGTATTCCAGAAATGCATGCTTTAATATCAAATTGACAGATACTCTTCAAACTAAATTTACTTTACAGGAGCTATTTATAAGATGGACAAGGTTTGTTTCACCTGTTGCTTTATTCCCCCTTTCTCTGTCCAAACCAAATTTAGGAATTTATACTTGAAACACTATAAATATATAGAAAACTGCAACCATGCAAAGTAAGGAGGCCACAGATACGTTAGGAAATACACATTACTCCAATATGACAACTTTAGCCTGGCCGCCTTCTAAACATTTAATATTTTCTGCTCCTATTTTCTGTTAAATATATACCAGATAATACTATATATGGCCTCTGTCCTGCAACATGGCTATAATTGTTTGGAACATCAGATTCTATATTTATGACATGAATTTTAATGTTGCATTATTATGCCTTTTACATGGGGTGATACTTTTCCTTTTTTTTTCCTGAGTGTAGTGTTTGCAAATGATCCAGACTGTTAGCCCAACAGTTAAAAATCTATTTAGCCATAGATAACTCAGTTAGTGACACTGCATAGATTACTCAGTCAGTGACACTGCATGAACGTAGCATGAGTGTAGTGTTTGCAAATGATCCAGACTGTTAGCCCAACAGTTAAAAATCTATTTATCCATAGATTACTCAGTCAGTGACACTGCAAACTTCTCTACCATACTTCAGTTCTGATCTAGACCATGCAGGCTTTGCTCCTGTATGGAGACTGCCAAAAAGAATGCCAATAAAAGCCAAATTTGACTGCAATTTTTGTCTGGCAGAACTCTTGAAAACTAGAACAAAATAAAAAAAAGCTCATTGTCCATTGGGCACTGAACAACAATGCAATATTTAATTTATACTGGATTACTTTAAATAGATGCCTACAAATGGAGGAGAAATACCTTATGGTCAGATAGAGAGAGAATATAAATTCCAATAACTTTACTTACATTCCTGGAGAAATTTATATCACCAAAGGATCTGGCTCCATATTTTGTACCTATTGACTTTTATTGATTTATGTTTGATAGCTGCACGGTGGAACTACTATGATGAAATTCTCCCTTGGCCACTTAACTGTTTCTTGACTAACATGCATGAAGTAAAGTAATGCCATATTATAGCAGCTTATACACAATGAAACATTGAGTTGAGACTCTAAAGTTTAGCATTATAAATGTGTTAATGCATTCAGTTAACACTGGTCTAATTATTATTTGTTTTTTTGTGTGTTTTTAGCAAGCATCCAGTGAAGATGGGTGACTGGAGTGCCCTAGGAAAACTTCTTGACAAAGTTCAAGCCTATTCTACTGCAGGAGGGAAAGTATGGCTCTCTGTCCTCTTCATTTTCCGAATCTTGTTGCTGGGGACAGCAGTTGAATCTGCCTGGGGAGATGAGCAGTCTGCTTTTCGGTGTAACACTCAGCAACCCGGTTGTGAAAATGTCTGCTATGACAAGTCCTTTCCCATCTCCCATGTCCGCTTCTGGGTTCTGCAGATAATATTTGTGTCTGTGCCTACCCTCTTGTATCTGGCACACGTATTCTATGTGATGCGGAAAGAAGAGAAACTAAGCAAGAGAGAAGAAGAGCTTAAGGTTGTCCGAAATGATGGTGGGAATGTGGAAATGCACCTAAAACAAATAGAAATGAAGAAATTCAAGTATGGGATTGAAGAGCATGGCAAAGTTAAAATGCGTGGGGGACTGCTCCGTACTTATGTCATCAGCATCCTCTTTAAATCTGTCTTTGAAGTGGCCTTCTTGCTGATACAATGGTATGTCTATGGGTTTAGCCTGAATGCCATTTACACCTGTGAGCGAGATCCATGCCCCCACAGAGTAGACTGCTTCCTTTCCCGTCCAACCGAGAAAACCATCTTCATTATCTTCATGCTGGTAGTGTCTTTAGTATCACTTGCCTTGAACATCATTGAGCTTTTCTATGTATTCTTCAAGGGCGTCAAGGATCGTGTGAAAGGAAAACCTGATCCTTACTCTCCCACCAGTACCATGAGTCCCTCCAAGGAGTGTGGATCCCCAAAGTATGCGTATTTCAATGGCTGTTCCTCACCAACTGCTCCCTTGTCACCCATGTCTCCCCCAGGGTACAAGCTTGTTACTGGAGAAAGGAATAATTCTTCCTGTCGTAACTACAACAAGCAGGCCAGTGAACAAAACTGGGCAAATTACAGTGCAGAGCAGAATAGGATGGGACAGGCTGGCAGCACCATCTCCAACTCTCATGCCCAGCCCTTCGACTTCCCTGATGATCATCAGAACACTAAAAAACTGACATCTGGGCATGAGCTGCAGCCTCTCACCACTGTGGACCAAAGGCCACCTAGCAGAGCCAGCAGCAGAGCCAGTAGCAGGCCTAGACCTGATGACCTGGAGATCTAAGCTTCCTAGCTGCAGTACTTCTCAACTATGAAATGATATGCATTGGAAGATGCATGCAGTATTCATTTTGTTCCAGTGGAGGTGGTACTTAACAAGTCTCAACCAGGAGATTTTAACAAACATAAAAAAACTTTCAAAATACTTGCTGTTTTCTGGGGAAGTGGGGTTGGTGTGGGGTGGTACAGTACCTTAGTATTTAAAGTAGCTGATTTAAAGAATTTAAATGCTTAAAAAAGACCAAAAAAAAAGTAAACAAGTTGTAGCCCATACTAAGGTAGGATTTTTTGTTGTTTCCCCCCCCACCCCAAAAACAGCTGTAAATATCTGTGTGTGCGTGTGTGTATGCGTTTGTATGTATAACATGTTTATTTCTAAAGAGTCTTCTGTTATACTAACACAAGTTGGTATCATGTTTGTTGGGATGAAATGCTGCCTGAAGATGAAAACATTTTTTCCTGTTGAACAAATGTAAGACCCGGGATTGTCTTTGGATCATTTCCCCATCAAGAACATTCCATTATTAAAATTTGCACTTGGTAGGTTAACTTCTCGGTATAGCTGTCTAGGTGTTTTTAAAAGACTCATGCAAGGATAATCTACATTCTTTGAAACAATCAACTAAGATTTCAAACAGGCCCACCAAAAATCCTTTGGTCAGATGCTTCTCAATCCTTCAAACAGGTAGATTTTGTTGTGTGTGTAGACTGGATGTTCTTCATATCCACATACATATTCCTATAGTATCATCCACATTCTGCTTCCTACAGCAATATTCACTTTCTGCTACTCACATAAAAGTGCATTTAGCACGAGGAGGAAATAAACAAACAAACCAGTTTACTGCCACTTGCAGATTTAAGAGTTGAAGTCAGATAATCAGATCACTTGTGGTTAACTCTATCACACATTGTGTATTTGGGGTGTCTTTGAATTATGTATGTGGGAGAGCTTAGGGCGGTACACAGATATATGATGCATACTTGCAAGCATACATTGAGGAACACACACAGAGGACACACTTACAGTTTTCCAATTTTTTCATGGAACTTGTGAAGGTATGGGCCACTATGGTGTTTACATTATCTATTTCCAGCAGTGCAAGAAAGCACATCAGAGGGTTTTTTGTTGTTGTTCCATATCATATTTTTCATGTATCTTCTGATGGATACTATTATTTTGTTAAATATGGATAACACTTTTTTTAAAGAGTTGAATCCTGGCCGTCTTGCTCTGAAAAAATTCCCACTGAAACTTAATGGAAGTTTTTCCTGAACAATGACTGTAGGATCAAATCCAAAAAGTAGCAATGATGCTCTTGCTGGCATGAATAACTTTCCTTTGTAGAAATTAGGAATGGAAAAGACCATTAGGTGATCTAGCTGATCTCCCTGATATGTAATAATTGATGCTTGAATTATAGAAGTTGTAGTACTGTAAGCAAGCTTTAGTCTTTAATGTGAGAAAATTAGAAAATGCTTTGAGCTCAATTAATTATAAAATATGCCTACATTAATTTTGCAGTAACTGGTATTTTTCTTTAACTACATGTCCATGTTTACTCAATTATAGTATTACGGTCCAATCCAATTTTGACAGTTAAATCTTTCTGGATGCCTTCAGCATTTTCCATGTTTGCACTTAGATTATGTTTGGAATGCAAGTGAAGCTGAAAGGGTTTTTCAAGAATACAATATTAACTAATTTATTTGAAAGGTATGCTAAAGAAATCTACCCGTTTCTTCAGCCACATTGCCTCTTAGTTCAACACAGGTCAACCAAGAAAATACATACCTTGGTTTCATTTTACAACACCACAGATTAATGGTTTCATATAATACAGTACTTTAATTTGTTTGACATTCCATGTTAAATTACTGTCATGCATGCAGCCATAGTCCATCAGATCATGTTGTCTGGAGAGCAGTAGTCAATAAAGTTTTAATTTAGTATAAATCTGCTCCAGTTGTCTTTTACTACAGTGTGTGTCTATTTGTCTCAATGGTATGATGTCCCCCCTACTGCAATTTTCATGGTTTCACCAGTGGCATTTCATACTTTTTTACATTGATTTACATAACTTGGATATAAGTTTGCCTTGAACTGGAAGTCCACATGCAATAACCCCAGGACCAGATCTGGTACCATTTCTGAATCTGAATGAATAGAATCATTAGGGTCACTACCGAATATATAGTTAACTGTCTTCAAATAATTAATAGGAAGATAATAGTGATGTATCAGATCATATCCTTGAAATAGTACTAAAGTGGTACTAATTTCTCAGACATTACAACAATATCTCTGTACTTGACTCAGTGAAATTCAGTTTTGGGTAAATTCTGACCCTAGATATTCAAAGACAATTTTGTCAACTCCAATGGGACGAAAATTTCACTCTTTCTCTAATATCTCATTTCCTGGGTCTTAGGCACTTAGGCAAAATCTTACTATGCTTAACTTTCTGGTATTGCCAGGGAATATTTAAATACAAAGAAGCTTGCCAATTTTTCCTTAGGATTTAAAAGTAAAGACATAATTATCATGTCATCATCATATGTCTGGTAGCTTTCCATCTTAATATGACTCAAAACAAATTTTGAGGTCAAACTCTATTTGGCTAGATCCTTGACAGCGATGCTGTGTTTGGGAAATGTATGTGTCTGGTATGCAGCTGTGAAACTACAGCTGTTTATGATACTTCACAAGCACTGATGTTATGAGGATGCGAATGGCAACTTTTGTGGAAAGGCCAAGAGAAGACAAGGCTTGTAACAAATGGGTATGTCATGAATGCTGGACCCCTTGGTTCAGCTATCCAGACCTGAACTGGCTGTCTCTTCCTGGTTCCATTTCCTGATGAACCATAACATACCATGCTACTTCAGTTTCAAGCCTCTTTTACAGTTTTTCAGATGTACAAAGAGCCATAATGCTTGCAACTGTTTGATGTGACGGTGAGCCGCTTCTTTACAGAGAAATTTGTTATCCTACCCAATGCCTTGAATTTTTTAATGCTGTGTAACTGGCCTTTCCATAGACTCAGCAGTGAGGCTGAATACAATGTTCCTACCTTGACACAGTTCTAGGTAGCTTTCTTCCCACTTTCTGCACCTTTTCTCCTAAATGGACTGTGCAGCAGTTCGTAAGTTCTGTGTATAGTTCTACTTTAAAATCAATCTTTCGGGAGAGTTTATGAAGGACAACTAGAAGTTGCACCTACTACTGAGATATTGATGGCTCAGAAACTACCCAGAGAATAGCCAGAGCTTAACTGACAGATGCTGCAGCCACTGAAATTAATGTTTGTTATGTAATGGCTATGCACTTTATCTTTTCGACATTTAAAATTGTCAAAAAATTCAAAATCAACCCCAAAGCAGAAAAAAAATTTAAGCTAAGAAATATCAAGTGATAATAATTCAAAGGCAAGAATGAAAAAAGAATAAAGTTGAATCCATCTTTTTGTTTGATGCATATTTTAAGCATATAAATAATATAGCAAAAATACTCCATCCTTCCATATTCAGATTGTACCACTTTAATTGCTGTTACGTATAGTAGGTTGAACCTAGCAGTTCATTCCTGTTTTATAATATTATGTCAATGACATTTTCTATAATTAAAATAGAAAATGATAAAGACATGATAATATTTCCAGAACTAGAATGAAATGGGAGTACACCCACTGTGAGCAATGCAGCTTTTGAAACAATTAAGTTCAAACTGAATACTCATCATCCTGTTTCCATATTCAGGCCCGTTTCTTGTTTTAACCCTTTTCACAATTCCTTAATTATTCTTCCATTGCTCCAATGTTCAATGTTTAAATTAAACATGTTTGGGAAGAGGATTCACCCACAGTTCTCTTCCCTAGATATTGCTAGACCATGTCTGACAGGGCTAGTTTTTATTCTTAGCTAAGACAATGAGTCTGATGGGTAACTCTTTGGAACATGACAGGTTGTAACAGGTGATGGAGTTACATAACAGTTCCCTAGGGGAAGTTTCCCCACAAATTTCCCTTAAGGAGGTCTACCACTCCTCTCAAATGCTACTTAGTTCAGGCACTTAACAGTCAAATCCATCAGAGGCTTCTGACCATAGAGTGACTGTACTTTGCTTCCAGTGGCACAGAGTTGGAGTAGATATTCCCACAGGGGATAGTTAGAAGCATGGAGTTATAGCTGGAGTTATAGCATCACCCTGAAGCTCTCTCACCACTGGCTGTGATTTTGATCATGTGGTGCTGTTCCAGGCTCCTGGAATTAGATAGAGGTGAGCTCTACATATGAAGGTCCTCAAAGTAGGTGACTTCAAAGTGAGCTGTGCACTCCATACTGAACCATTTACAGCACACAGCAGCTTTGAACTAGGATTGGTCCTACCAAACCTGTGAATTATGCTATGACTTCTTGGCCACTCCACTGGTACCTTCTCTGTCAGAGATCTGGATACTTATATACACACATGGCACACTTTTTTTTTTTCTTTACAAAAGGCTCTGTTATTCTTACCCCATACTACTGCAGCCAAGGGACCAGGCTGGAATCTAGGCTGGAATTAACTGGTGGAAGTAATTTTGGTGAGAAGCAGAGTGCCGCTGTGGAAGTATGCAGGAACAACTATTCTTGGGAATGCTACAAGGAGTATTAGTACACAGAGGTGTAATGGGCCAGTACTTAGCATGGCGCAAGAGCAGCAGCTGCAGGTTTACTGTGGCAGGGAGAGGGGAGATGTCACCTCCTTTTTTGCTATTGGCATGTTGAGCAGCTATTTGAACACTGATTTTCAGCAGCAAAATAAGGAGGCAAAATCTTACCCTGCAACCTCCAGCCACTGCTTTGCCCTCCCTGCTGCTAAAATTGGAGTTGCTGCAGGGAAGGTGCAGAGTGGTACAGTTGTGGGGCTGAGGATGGGAGAGTGAGGCAACCTCCCAGCTCTATTCCAGCTCTCCTACCCCCCCTGCAGGACCTGGGGCTTATGCTTCACTTGCCCAGCCATCCATACATATGGTGAACATAATCAATAGATTGATGTAAACAGCCTGTGTGGCTGAAAACCCCAACATCGGGGAAAAAGATAGATAGATAGATAGATAGATAGATATGGACTCATTTGCCATATAAAGGTAAACACGTACAAATGTAAGTAATGTATTTATAGGAACCTTGGGTCAAATATAGGTAGCAGACACAGAGTTCTGCCAGGATCAATGCAGTCCTGCAGAATTGAGGAGGCACAACTGAGCACTTGTTGACTGCATTGACTGCGGTTTACTTTAAGGGAGAGAGGAGTGTAGTGTATACTTCTTTATCCCTTTTTGCCTTGGTGGAAGAGGAGCAAAGGCATGGCTCAGCCTACTCATTTCCTCTCCTTACCCTTCTTTTAGAACACTATTCACATTCCAGACAACTGAGCAGCAATCCCACACCGCTGAGTTCAGGCTCCACAATTCTTCTGATTAGTTCTTATGTGGGCTGTGCAAGGGAGGCTCTTTCCACATTCGCCCCTTCCCCCTCCCACACTTTTCCTCCCCACATAGCACAGCTGTATAAGGGGAATATTAAATAAATGAGTCTGAGGGAACAATCATACTAAATGATAAAAGGCTCCAGCTCCTGTGATCATGGAACGTGCAGATTAGAGCTCATTAGCCACACTGGCCTCGCTTATATGTGTACAGCAAAGTAAATTGGGAAAAACAGCATGGAAAATATCTTAATGGATTATAAAAACCTCTGGATACCTTAGGATCTTAAAACCACCAGCCCCTGCTGAAACAAGCACTTTCAGTCTCAGCTTCTGCTGAGTCATAAAGTTTGCTGCTTTTTAAGACTCTGAAGTAGCTTGGCTCAAAATTGCAGCCCTTTTGGAATTGCACAAGCCAACAGTTTTAAGAAAAAACAATACCAACAGCATTTTCTATACCATTTGAAATGTCATGTAGTTCTTTTGGGGACACATACTTCCACACATACTCACAGCAGTAGGACCTCTTCCAAACCCAGGGTCAGCCTGCATGATGAATTTTCCTAGCTTTTGTCCATACATCATAATGCCAGCATTACTTCAGTGTTTTTTGTTACCAATAGTTTAAAATGTTTTCAAGCACTTGGCATTTATTGATGTGTCATGTATGTGGGAGTCTTGTCTGAGATCTAAATAATAAGTCAACAACCAGGCCATCATCTGTTTTTTATAGGGTAAAAATATATTGCCCAGGCCAGGATCCTTAGCTGGTGTAAACTGGCTTAATGAATAAAGCTTTGTTGATTAAAATTAGCTGAGTATCTGCCACAGGATTTACTTGATAATCAGAATTATGAATGAAAGGGGGCTTTATAAAGTTGGAACTGCATGGCATATTCCTTTCTTTTTCTTTATCTATGTATGTAGATGACCTTCCCCTAAATCTTTCTTCACCTAAGGGCCACTCTCTCCTGATTTTGTTACTTTAACATTGCTATAGTAATGCAAACCTTCAGGGTAGAGGTAACCTCTGCTGGAGTAAAATGAGGCTAGTATTAATATGATTTGCACCAGGGTGGTGTATCTGGATTAGGATCTTGGGGTGGTGTAACTGATGCCCACGTCTCTCAACTAGACAAGTTCTAAATCTAATGTTTGAAATGGAGCACAATCTATGAACCCAATCCTGTAAATTTATCTGCCCAATAGGATCTGTAGAGAGTCCCTCTGCAGCTGATGGGGCTTTGGGTGGGCTTGAGGATATAGCATGCTTTTTTTTCTTACTTACCTAATGGAATTGACATTGAGCACAATAGAGTCTGCTATTCCTGTGCAGCAAGGAGAGGGTGTAGCCTATGAATTCCATGGATCTCTTGAGAGTTAGTGGGGTCTTGAAAAACTCCTTCACAATCTCTGTATATCCACAGCAGCTACTGACTCTCATCAAGGTCCATGGGGTTTGTGCTGCCATGACTCCTACCCTG